TTGGATTTTCATTCTTTTGGTATGTTTTGAAATGTTAATTTTCTTTGAGGTTGCCTCATAGTCCATTAACTTTTCTGTCCATTTAGTGAAGTCTATTTTATCCTGTAATCGACCTGACCTTCTCACTATCTGGATCCCTGTTCCTACGTGTTTACCTTCTTTTGCTGATGGGGCACAACTCAAAATAAGGACAAACAGCTGTAAACATCCTTTGAAAATCAGAACATGGAATGTACAAAGTATGAATCTGAGAAAATTGGAACTTGTCAAAAATGAAATGGAATGCATAAACATCAATATCTTAGGCATTAGTCAGCTTAAATGGACTGGTATTGGCCATTTTGAATCTGACAACCACATGGTTTGCTATGCTGGAAATAAAAATTGAAGAGGAATGGTGTTGCATTCATAGTCAAAAAGAACATATCCAGATCAGTCATGAGGTACAACGCTGTCTGTGATACGATAATATCCATGCATGTATAGGGAAGCCCAGTTAATGCCACTATTATTCAAATTTATGCACCAACCAGTAAAGCCAGTAAGGATGAAATGGAAAAATTCTAGTAATTTCTTCAATCTGAAATTGATCAAACATGCAATCAGGATGTATTGCTCATTACTGGTGATTGGAATGCAAAGGTTGGGAGCAAAGAGGAAGAATCGGTAGTTGGAAAATATGGCCTTGGTGATAGAAATGATGCTGGAGAACACATGACAGAATTCTTCAAATCAATGATCTGTTTGTTTCAAATACCATCTTTTGCCAGCATAAAAGACGACTATACACATGGCCCTCACCAGATGGAATGCATAGAAATCAAATTGACTATATCTGTGGAAAGAGATGATGGAAAAGCTCCATATAATAAGTGAAAACAAGGCCAGGCAGACTGTGGAACAGACCAGCAATTACTCATATGCAAATTCAAACTGAAGCCGAGGAACATGAAAACATGTCCACGAGATCCAAAATATGACCTTGAATATATCCCACCTGAATTAAGAGATGATCTGAAGAACAGATTTGGTACATTAAACACTAAAGACCGAAGACCAGAAGAGTTGTGGAATGAAATCAAGAACACCATACAGGAAGAAAGCAAAAAGTCATTGAGAAGACAAGAAAGAAGAAAAAAGGTCAAAATGGATGTCAGAAGAGACACTGAAACTTACTCTCCACCGTAGAGATGCTAAAGCAAA